GCAGACCAAATCCCTAGTATAGAATGGGGAGGTGGGCTCAACGTCCCACCTCTAGTTGAGGCAATTGATAGCTGTTGGAAGAGGGAGAGCTTGTTTGGTTTAAAGGAGTGGCCCCTGGTATGTTTTCCTCACTCACAGTGGATGGCCACACACTCAATAGTACATAGGCAGGACAAATTGGGCTCAGTGTACTTACAACCATAAGGATGCCAAGTTGGGAAAGCAATGAAGAAAAGGTGGATCTGGGAGGAACTGGGGAAGGGGTGAATATGATCAAAATATAATACATGAAATTCCCAAAGAATTAATAAGTCATGCTTGAAACTGAATTTGTTTCCTTTAAATGCTTTATGAAATTGTTCAGTTGCATGCATGTGTGTGATAGATTCTGGTTACACTTACCCCTCTGCCTCTCTTTCCCTCCTCTTACTCCCACCAGCCCTTCTTCCCTTGAGTTGCCTTTCCACCACTTCGATATGTTGTTTTGTTTTTGTTTTGACTTTGTGGCCCATTGGCTTTAACTGGGCTTTATATTAAGTGAGATAACCCAGGTCCAGAAAAGCAAACCTATTTTTTTTTTTTTAGATTACTTTTAAAATTTAGCCTACAAAGTCATGGATTTTATCATGGCATCTTCCTGACTATGTGTCATTATACCTTTTCATTCATTCCCCTCCCCCATTGCTCCCCATGACTCCTCCCCCATTTCAACTGGTTCCCTTCTTTCCTCTCGGTATCCCCTTCTGCTTTCTTATCCTTTTATTCTACTTTCCACAGAGGAAAGATATTTATAAGAAATATTAGAATTTCTCATATTTCTGTGTCGGTAGTTAATTGTATTTATAATTGTACAACAACCATATTGATAGCACCTAGTACCTGTGGACACTATCCTAAGCATTTTGCAAATAATAACTTCTTTTAAATTCTTCTGAAGTAGCCCTTGTTACATCTTAAGGATTAGGAAAATGAAAGCCAAAGATGTTAAGTAAGTTGCCCATGGCCCTTCAATTGGTGACAGAACCCGTATTTGCTCTTTGTCACTTTACTATGCTGCTGCTTCAAGCACAGCAAAAGCAAAAAATATCCAAAACTAAATACAGTCACTGGAGAGGTAGTTCAATGAATAAGTTCAGTTCCTGTTTTGCCAGCACTAGGGCCTGAATTCAATCCCTGGATTCTATGTGTCTTAGTTTAGGGTCACCATAGCTGTGATGAAATACTATGACCAAAAGCAAGTTATACAGGAAGGGGTTTATTTCACTCACAGTTCCATATAACAGTTCATCATCAAAAGCAGTGAGGGCAGGAACTCAAGCAGGGCAGGAACCTGGAGGCAGGAGCTGATGCAGCGGCCATGTCGGGGTGCTGCTTACTGGCTTGCTCAACATGGCTTGCTCAGCCTGCTTTCTATATTATTATTAATATCCCTTTTATTAAAAATAGATTCTGTTTTCATACAATATATACTGATTACAGTTTCCCCTCCCTCTACTCCTCCAAGTTCCTCCCCACTTCCCCTCCCATCGAGATCCACTCCCTTTCTGTCTCATTCGAAAAGAATAGGCTTCTAAGAGATAACCACCAAATATAACAAAATAAAATATAGTAGGATAAACCAAAAACCATCACATCAAAGTTGGACAAGACAAACCAACAAAAGTAAAAGAGCCCCAAGAAAAGCACAAAGAGAGGCTTACTCATTCACATACTCATAAATCCCATAAAAATACTAAAATAAAAGCTATAATATATATGCAGAGGACCTGGTGCAGACCCATGTAGGCCCTGTACTTGCTGCTTTGGTCTCTGTGAGCTTTGCTCAGCTGATTTGGAGGGACTTGTTCCTCTGGTGTCCTCCATCCCGTCTGGTTCCCACACTCATTCTGCCGTCTCTTCTGCAGGGTTCCCTGAGCTCTGAGGAGAGGACATCCCTAGCCTGCTTTCTTAGAGACCCCAGAACCACCATCCCAGAGATGACAGCACCTACAATGGACTGGGCCCATCCCCATCAATCACTAATTAAGAAAAATTGAATTTAAGTTGTATTCACAATAATGTGATTTTTTTAATTATTAAAATAATCCCCAAAAGTTAAGAAAAGGAAAAAAAGAAAGAAAATGCAATACAGGCCTGCTTACAGCCTCATCTTCTGGAGACATTTTGTTAATTGAGATTCCTTTCTCTCAGATGACTTTTGCTTGTGTCGTTGACACAAGCACCACCATGCAAAAAACAAAGGGCACAGTAGTATGTGTTTGTAATCCCAGTGTCAAGAAGACAGAGACAGGCCAATCTCTGAAGCTCCCTTACCACCCAGGTTAGCCAGCTAGACATGTTGCAGACAAGGGAAAAACCCTGTCTCAAAATAAATAAACAAAAAGGCAGTCAGTGCCCATGGGATGGCACCTAAGGTTGCCTGATGGTTTCCACATGCAAGGGAACACATGTGCAGGCGCACACACACACACACACACACACACACACACACACACACACACACACACATGCACATACCCCCAAAACCTCCACAATGCAGAACTCACATCCAATATACAAACCAACCACCACCACCATCACCAAAAAAACCTAGGCCTTTTGTTGATTATCTCTCCTTTAAAGTAAATTCAATGGAATCCACCAACTTTGCTATTTTCTACTGCTTTTGTTTGTACTTTGTGAGCTTCTTCATGCCTGAATCCCATCCCAACATTTTTCGTATTTTCTTTTCTTTTTTTTTTTTGGGGGGGGGGGTGGTTTCGAGACAGGGTTTCTCTGTGTAGCTTTGCGCCTTTCCTGGAACTCACTTGGTGGTCCAGGCTGGCCTTGAGCTCACTGAGATCCCCCTGGCTCTGCCTCCCGAGTGCTGGGATTAAAGGCGTGCATCACCACCACCCTGCCATTTTTCATATTTTCAAGATATTCAATCCTGGTTTCTTTCTAGGACTTTCACATAAGTAATTTTATCTCTTTGCCTGTTATTCCTGCCCTCAGAAATGCTACAGCTCTATCTCTTCTTTGTCGTCCATTATAAATCTTCATCATCAAAAACACTGCTCTGATCTATTGCATATTGTACATGTATCGAAACAACACATGGTACTTCATAAATATGTATAGTTACTATGTGTCAGTCAATTAAATAATATCCTGTTCCCTTCCTCCCAGAATCCCTATCTTCTGCCAGGCAGATTTCCATGGAACTCATGCAACAATGATACAGACCACATTACCCTTTTTGTACTTAATGCTGTCTGTGTCGCCTAACAAAGCCTATCACAATCCTCTATTACTTAGTATTAACCTCTATGCTGTGTGTATTTGGCAACAATGTAAGCTTGGGAAGCAGGGACTGTATATTGACTACATGCTTTCCTGTTTCTTTCTGGGTACCAAGAGGTCTTAGAACATAATGGGGAAAAGCGTAAGCTTTGGATCAGTAACATCTGGGCGTAAGTCCTTGTTATGTCCATGGCAAGTTATGTGACCATTGCATATAAAATACTTACCTAGGTCACTGTCATCTAGTAAGCTGTTATCACTGGGTAACTTGTAATGTAGCTCAGATACCCTTAACCAACTTGTGCAGTTGTGAAATGTTTCAGTATTTTCATTTCAGTTTTAGCATCTCCAGTTTTGAGATTCTTTTTGATCAGATAGGACATTTTCAGAGAGTATTGTATGTAACTGATTCAAACATCAGGCCCCCACACTCATACAGTAGAACATGATTCTTCATCATTTGACTTCTCCTAAATGGAAACAGAGAGGGTAGTCTAGAATGCCTTTGTGTTCAATATGGATAAGCATGTGCATGTGTGTGTTGTCCACGTGGGTTCTGTGCAACTACTCATATGTGTGATTTTTTTTCCAAAGCAGACTTTATGGCATGTGTTTGTACAGTGCGTCAATACAAATTACTTAGGAGTAGGCGTCCCCAAACACTTTAATGTACACAGCCAGTTGAGTCACACTATCGGTTAACATACAGTTCCTGGTACTAACCCTTTCCAGCCTCTCTACTATCGCTAGGTAAGCAATCTCAGACTACTCAATGGAAGCTGACTCATTCTTACTGTTAAAACATGATTTGCCAAAGAACTTTCGGCATAGTTCTTCCCTTTGGTACAGGAAACAAATAGTTCCCAAATTCAACTGGACAGGAACCCTCATGGCCCTCTTTAAATATACACCTGAAGTCCCCCTGCTTCATAGTACAAATTTGCATTTTTCTAGAAGCTTCTGGAAGATTCTCAGTCAGATACCCAGAGTGTACACTTGAAAACTGCAAGTTCATATTAGGTTCATTACTGATAGGAATTCCAGGCTTTGTACATGTGCACAGCAGGGCAAGGGTTACTCTCTTTGTATAGCAACATCACAAAATTCACTTGAGAGTTTGATTTGTTGGAGTTCTTACCCTGAATCTTCCAATTTTGTTGTTGATACAACTAAAAATTACATGGTACTTTTTATTGTTTGCAAGGCAAACCAGTGTTAACCTATTATTATTGTTGGGACTGATTATGTTAAAAAAACAACAAATATAATACATCAAATGCATCTAAATGAGGGTTATCCTTCAAAAGAGTGAACTTGAGATACCATGAATATGAAAAATAGAGTTCACCATGCTGCTTTTAAGCATTTGGTGGGTGCTAATATCAAACCAGGTCCTTAAGCCACAGTGATTTAACCACATGTTAACAGCACCTGTTCTAGAGCCAGCTGACTCTGAAAGCCCTTCCTCTGGCATCTAGATGATTATTGAAACACCTTCTTTGGAATCATTCAACAGAAATATAATATGTAGGCTCTAAGCATTGACAATATAATGCCTATTCATATATAATTTAAAACTAAAAATACAAGCCATAAAAATATTTTTTAAAAGTCCCATAAACTCTGATTTCTTCATGGTAACTGTTTTGGTGAATAAACACTACATTGTGAAAAGCTTTAGCTAAGGATGTCCCACTCTCATTCTTTTGTTTCTGTAGATTGTTGTCTCTTTGATTCACGTGTAGCTTTCCTCAGAATGGCATAGATCTCTTATGGAAACCTCAGATTGCCTCGGAGCTCACAAACCAGTCAAAGGTAACAGACTACTGTAATCACACCTCATTTATTAACTACAAAACAGCATTACTTTGATGATCACTTGCCTTATAAATGAGACTTGGCCTCAAATGACTTAACTGTTTCCAAAGAGTAAATCTCATTCATGGGATAATGTTTTAACACTATCCAAGACATTAGAATATTTAAAATTGTTTTACTGTATCTCATAATCCAGAAAAATAAAGTTCAGATGGATTGAACCATATTCATAAGTTTTCCATTTACAAAGTAGTTCTTATATATTAGCTATGTGTCAGGCACTGTTCTAAACCCTCAGAATAGTGAACAAAACCTGTGAATTCTTATCCTTCTGAATCTTCCTGGTAAACTAGTACAGTATCCCCTTCTTGTTAATGAAAGATATGTTTTGAGACCCCTGATGAGGCCTGAGACTGCAGCTACTGCTTAACATTATATATACACACTCTATTTTCTCCTATACATGCATGCCTAAGAAAGAGTTTAATTTATAAATTAAGCTCAGTAAGGGATTGATTAAAAGTAACAATTAAAATAGAATAATTACAATATAATGAAAGCTACTTAATGAGAGGGTTTTTTTTTATTTCTAGAGTTTAGTATTTAGTAGTTTTGAGGTATGGTTGACCCTGAGTAACTGAAATCATGGGGGGAAGAGGCAGACATAGAAGAGGGGAGAGTTCTGTATGTTAGAATAAGCAGAAAGGTCCAGGGTGATTGGAAGTCTGATGAGAAGTCAGAATGGAAAACTGTGTGAACTGCTTGTAATCAAGTACTCAGAAGACCCTCAGATGCAGAAGGGTCATTGAAAATTTAAGAACAGTCTGGTCTACACAGTGAGTTCCATGTCAGCCAGGGCTACATAGCAAAACCCAGTCTTTTGAAACAGTGAGTAAAAATGGACACCTTGGGGGAAAAAACAGTTTAGCAGAGACTAGAAGATAATACAGGAATTTTCTCTGTTTATATCCTAGAGGAAATATTCCTATGTAGTGTGAGTTACCAGAACGAATGTTCTAAAAAGTAAGAACTTGCCTTATGGACTGGTGACTCAATAAGGAGAGCAGTGTGGCTGATGCAGACGAGTGAGAGGTAAGTATGGTAGATGAGGTCGCAGAGGTGATGGGGTTGGTGAGACATGAATTTCAGGGTCTTTAAAATATTCTAGTTTTTTTTTTTAAAAACTTTAAAAATTTTTAATATTATACTTTATTTAATACAATGGATTCCAGATGTTATTTCAACATGTAATCTGATGTGTGTGCTGTACTACAACACATCTCAATTCAAACTAGCCATTTTAAGAATGATTGAGAGTGATTCACAGCATTAACCTTTGGTCTACACAGGCATGCAGACACATATGTCACATATATGCCTAATCGCATGAAAAATGGAAAAAGATTTAAAAAATTCCTAGCCACCTTGCAAGAGTTCAGAATTCATAGCTCTGAGAAAAACAGATAAAGCACTAGACTTGATTTAACTTGGAACCTATTTTGCTCCATCAGCAACATAGAACATATTGATTGAGGTACAGATGAAAGCATAAGGCAATATCACGTTGTAACTGTGATAATAGCGCAAATGAAAGAAACATTTTTATTGTTAACAAGGCTTTGAGAAACATTCTTCTTTTCACATTCTTGTTTGAGATTGAGGTTTATGAACAGTTTCTGGTGGACAAGTTTGTAGTCCACCAAAAATTTAAATACCAGTGTTCTTTCATTCAGCAATCCTTCACTAGGAACCTAATCTACAGAAACAATTATACAACCTATAGATACCTAATTGACAAAAATGGTCATATGAATGGGCAAAATATAAGCAAAAGATGTTCTTTGCACCATTGTTCATAGTAGTAAAACATGGAAATGATTTATTCTATTATTAATTTTCTATTGGTATAGAAGAAGGTATAGTATGCTTATACTATGAAATATTATGTAGTCTTCAAAACAAGTAGGGCAGACCTGAAGATGTAATTGGACATAAAGGCAAAGATAATAAAGATGCTTTTTATGTAGGAAAATCAAATTATAGAGTAATATGCATAACATGATCAATTTTCTGTTAAAAATCATTGTGTGTCTCTTGAAAGGATTTTGTTTCTAGGTTTTGCTTGTTTGTTTCTTTGAGACAGAATCTCAGACTCTTGCCTAGGTTGGTCTTGAACTCTCAGAAATCTTCCTACCTCAGCCTCTCATGTACTGGGATTAAAGGCATATGAGCTACCACACTCCAGTTCATTGTGTGTTTCTGTGTGAAATTGCATAGAAAATGCTAACAGCCTGTTGCTTGTGAGTATATGGATGAAACTGAACATGTGGGTGAAGGACTAGTGGTGGGATTTTCTTTTGTACATCCCTTTGTTTTTAAAATTCCTTTGCATTCTAAATGAATTACTTTTATAATTTTTAAGTTAAAAATGAGAGTACCTTTCTGGAGATGGAGGAGGACTGGATGGGGGGGGGTAGATGGGAGGTGGGGGAGGGAATGGAAGAAGAGGAGGGAGGGGAAACTGTAGTCAGTATGTAAAATAAATGAAAATTTTTAATAAAAAAAAATGAGGGAGTAACGAGGCCACACTTTTCTGAAAGTTCCCAAGAGAGAACTGGACAGGCAGTAGCACATTTGTTACAATATAATCAGTGTGCCACTGTGGAGTATGATGGGAACAGCCTCTAATATGCACTGTGTGGCCTTGGGAAAAAAACACGATGTTTCTGAACTTCAGTTTTCTCATGTAGAAAATGTAGATAATACCTGCCTTACTTATTTTATCTCTAGTCATGGAAAGAAAATGGAAAAGCAGTTTAAAAATTATAAAGCCCTCTAAAAATGTGAAGACTCATATTTTATGTGCCAGTTAATGGACCACTTCTTTTGAGCAGTGGCCAAGCAACATAAAAATTCAGTTCCAAGTAGGTAATTTGCATGATTTCCTAGAGTTTAATGGAACTCCTGAGTTTTATGTAGCAGCAGTATAGATATTTTACTTGAATGTTCCAGAGTGTTTTGTGTGAACTATCCCGATACAGATAGGTTTACTCTACTTCACTAATCTTAAAGCCAACTACTTTAGTCATGTAGCATTAGTCAGCAAGCTTTTCCATGCTTAGTGTCTAGCATTCCTCTATGGCTAGGTGGCTAGACATCCAGGTTTGTCTGGGTCTATCTCAGTTTACCCTCTCCATCTCGTATAATTGCCAATAATGCCCTTTTCATTCCACCAAGTATCCTAGTTATAATGAATGCCTTAGGGTTTCTATTGCTGTGATAACACAAGATAAAAAAAAAAACCAACAACAACCCAAGGAAAGTATTCTTTGGCTTACGTATCCCAGGTCACAGTCCAGTGGAGGAAGCCAAAGCAGGAATTCAAAGCAGGACCTGAAGCAGAAGCCATGGAGAAATGCTGCTTAGTGCCTTGCTTCCCCTGGCTTTGCTTTCTTATACACCCCAGGACCACAGTGGTCTGTGCACCCCCCACATCAATCATTAATCAAGAAAGCGTCATGTAGGCTTGCCTATAGGCCAAATATGGAGGCATTTTCTCAGTTGAGATCTCCTTTTCCCAGATATGTCTAGGTTATGGTCCAGTTGATACAAACCAACCAGGCAATCAGTTATATTGACACTCTACTATGGTCACATATGGAACATGGGAGGAAACATAGAAAGCCCCTGGTTGAAAACCACCATACCTAAAAAGAAGACTAGGTCATGAATTTGAGAGGAAGGGAGAATGGGAGGAAATAGAGTGGGGAGATGGGCGTGGAGATGATGTAAATACAGTACTCACATATTGAAATTCTCAACAAGAAAGAAAAAACAGAAAATGGCTAAATCAAAACAAGCTCTCTTTCTCTACCCCACTCCCACACCAATAGAAATGCCAGTGGTTTCTAAATGAAAACGGTGGGTCTTTTGGAGACTTCTAAAAGCCGAGGCTTAACCAGGGCTCATAAGAACTGGTGAAGGCCTCCAGAGGGCCACCCTACGAGTTGTCCTCTGGCGCAGAACTTCCCTTATACTTTTTATCCTCATCACATTGATTAATTCTCATGATCCAAAATTCATTTAGAGGACAGAAGCAATTGATCATCAAATAGTGAAAAAAAAGTTTGCAAGTTGTTCATTGTTCTCTCCTGCCTTAAAGCTGGTATCTTCTTTTACAGAAAGGACTTTTTCCTGGAGGAATACAGAGAGAAAGAAAAAAGAAATTTGGAGTATGAGATATCTGCGGAGTGAATTTTCCCTTAATGACAACCTAGGAACTCAGGGGACTGTGAAGGTGGGCTCAGAAAGGAAAGGAGGTATCAGGGACATGCAATACTTATTTGCAGAAAAATATCTTGTGCACAGTTCCTGCCTTGAAGGGGAAAACATGTTTTTAAACTCTGCCACCTGCTATTTCTTCTCTTTCTCCCCATTCTCTGTTGCCTAATACCCAGAATTAGGCTGATTCTCAAGTAACATCTGCACAGGTCTGGGAATATGACTCATCATATTGCTTCTGCAATAATAATGGATTACTAGGTACATTTTTGGACACACTCATAAGTTATGACCTTCCTGTATAAGGACTGATCTTTCTCCCTTAAGGGTCTCACTCTCCCTCAAAGAGCTCACAGTCACTGGATTTAGGTGAGACTCAGTTAATAAAAAGGAAACTACAGCCGGGCGGTGGTGGCGCACGCCTTTAATCCCAGCACTCGGGAGGCAGAACCAGGCGGATCTCTGTGAGTTCGAGGCCAGCCTGGGCTACCAAGTGAGTCCCAGGAAAGGCGCAAAGCTACACAGAGAAACCCTGTCTCGAGAAACCAAAAAAAAAAAAAAAAAAAAGGAAACTACAGAGAATAATTGAGTATCAACTGTCCAATACTGATTGCCTCCAAACAAAATGTAAATTTATGACAGAGGTCTAAGTCTAAGAATATGCTTAGACATCAAAGTGAGGGAATAGAAAATTCTGAGGAATGGAAGTCAGACATGGGTGTGGATAGGAAAAGTCTGGAAGGAGGAGTTAGGTCTGATAGACGTGAAATGGTTTTCTGAAGAGGGAGGAATTCATTTCGCTAAAGAAAGATGGAAGTAAAATAGTTTTTTGTAAATTAAAGTTCATAAAACATGTCATTTGAAATGAGTGCTTTTTATCTGACTAAGCACTTTGAGCAATAAATTTTTGCAGCATTTATTGTGGCTATAGTTCAGATGTAATGAGGACTAGATCATGAAAAGCTGGGAATCCAGGTGAAAGACTCTAGGCTTGCTGGCAGTCCACAGAGAATGTTAATGAAAATGCATCATTAGAGTTGGGATATTAGTCTGAGACTGGTATACAGGATGAAGGAGAAAAAAGTCCAGAAGAGCATTCAGGAGGCTGCTGCTGTAAGGTAGATCACAACAGAAGCAGCAGGTTGGAGAAGGGACAAATTTGAGAGTCACTGTAGAGATGGAAGCAGCAGGACTCAGGGAAGCCCTTAGGTTTCTCAGAGTTCCTTAAGCATGAGAGGAACTCTGTCTGAAATTCATGCTCACATTTTCCCATGCCCTGCTAGTGAACCTCTAATTTCTGAAGAAACCCTGTAGCATCTATAAAGTAACTTAATTCTGCAAAAATGCAGACTCACCTAATGGCAGACTTACCTGATTTTGCACATTAGGTTAGTGAGTGTTACCGTGTTTCTAACTTTGGAGACATGAGAATGGAATTTTACTTCCAGTTTTGATAGAACGTGTTTATACTGGTGGTCCTTCAAAAAAAATGATGTGCCTTGAATTTGTTCCCATAGAATGAATACGTTTTTACTTCATAGTCCCTGGGCCCTTCCTCTGAACCTCAAAGCCCCTGAAAAGACTGTGTCACCAATTTACTAACCTAGTTTATGAAAGGTGCTTAGTGGATCAATGCTCTAAGACATTCGTGGAACATGTGAAATGAATTAGCCTTGTCAAATTGTATTTGTATACGTTCTCTTCCAACTATATCTTTGTGGAACTATTTGAAATTAATTAGCCTTGTCAAATTATATTTGCGTACGTTCTCTTCCAACTATATCTTCTCTCCTCCAAGTACAAGTTTTTAATAAGGTTGATTCTAAACAATGAAACCTAAGAGAATCTGTACAAAGAGCTGGAAGAATTTAAATCCATGAGTTTATTATTAACACAGTAGCAAATATATCAAGGGAACGCACCCAGGGAAAAGTGTTTCAAATAAACACAGATCTGCTCAGAGAGAGGTCTGTACCCAATAAGCAAGCTGGAAAAGGCCTATTTGCTTGATGATGCCCAGCAGATAAGCCAGGCAAACCTCGGTGTGATTGAAGAAGCCAGTTGGAAACTCAGCCTAGTTCAGGCAAACTCCTGACTGGCACCTGCTGCTCCAAGCGATTCTCAGAATGAAGGTGTTTGCATTTTGGAAGGTCTTTCTGATCTTAAACTGCCTTGCAGGTAAGGCAACTGGAAGTCGAATTTCTCTTTAGACTAAAATTGCAAATTTTTACAAAAATCTTCTTCTCCCAGGCTTCCAAGAGATGGTGATTAGTGTGCTGGTTATTTTCAGAACTCTTGTTTAGCAAATCTGTTCTGTGTTGATGATTGGGAGGTCAGTCTGCAGTAGAATTGGCTTACACAGCTTCTGAAATGTGTTTCCCAGTTTCTTTGTTTTCCCGTTTTCTTTATTTAGTTCGAAAGGTGAACATGTGAATTTACTCAGAAAGCACAGTTTGTGCTTAAAGATAAAATTTCTGTTTTAGTTCAGTGTTTCCACTAAGCCGGGGCTCAAGACTACATGAGCATATTTGTGGAGAGAGGACAGAGAGGCTCATGGAGTGCTCGGTTAGCAGGGATTTCCTACGCAGTGTAGTTTTCAAGTTGTAGGAATGTATTGCAGAAATTATACAATTGACTTATCATGTAACAATATGGTTGATTTTAGGGATTTGAGCAGAACAAAATCAATTTTAGAGCCTCAAATCCGGGTGTTTATTAAGCTCAGGAGACGCAATTAATTTGGAAAGTCCCTTGGCTGAGTTTTTTAAAGCTAATGCCTTGTATATTTTGAAACGGTTCTGATGGTAAGTTAAGTTTATGGTAGCTACAATAATATTGTTTATCAAACAAGGGAACTCTTTTAAGTCATGAGTAATGTTAGGCTGTCATTAGCATGTAATTTTATAAACATATTTAATGATATAAAACATACTCAAGATAAAGTATGTGAAAAATCATGACACACAACATTAATTATAATAAATTAAAAGAAGATAATATAATAATCATGATTACTTCTGGGTGATATGATTAAAGATTTTGATTTTATTTCCTTGATATTTTATGATTCAGAAAAACATTAATTGTAATACTGTCTTGTGGTTAGTAGTAAATCTTTAAATATCCATTATTAAATGTTTAAACAAAGATGATATACAGAGTCAGAAGTCACCAGAAAGCAATTTTGAATTTATTCCATGATCTATCCTGGTCATAGAGCCGGAAACACGTTACTTAGTTACTTTATCTTAGAGTTTTGTTTCTATTATTAGGTGAGGAAAATTTTGGTCATTTTATTCATTTGTTAGCTAGTTTGGGTCAAACCATAGGTTTCTGTACCAACCCTCTATGAGCACACCTTTAGTCAGCATAATTATGACTAAAAAGGTAATAAAGCCTTACCCTGTTCTATATTAGACATAGGATCACAACAGATACATGAATGACTTTTATTATAAGTATGTACATATATATATATAATTTTACTGATGATAAATATAATGGATATTCACTATATTTGAGAATATGGAAATTTATAAATAAAATATAATCTTACCACTCAGATTTAAGTACATTATCTATTTTTCTTTATAAGAATGGATATTACCCAGTGGTTGGCTGTGGATCTCTGCATCTGCTTCCATCAGTTACTGGATGAAGGTTCTATGATGACAGTTAGTATATTCACCAATCTGATTACAGGAGAAAGCCAGTTCAGGTACCCTCTCCACTATTGCTAGTAGTGTTATCTGGGGTCATCCTTGTGGATTCCTGGGAGTTTCCCTGGCACCAGGTTTCTCCCTAACTCCATAATGGCTCTCCTGGGGTCCAGTCGAAGAGAGGGAGGAGGGATTAAATGAGCAAGAGGGGCCGGGCGGTGGTGGCGCACGCCTTTAATCCCAGCACTCGGGAGGCAGAGCCAGGCGGATCTCTGTGAGTTTGAGGCCAGCCTGGGCTATCAAGTGAGTTCCAGGAAAGGCGCAAAGCTACACAGAGAAACCCTGTCTCGAAAAACCAAAAAAAAAAAAAAAAAATGAGCAAGAGGGGTCAAGATCATGACGGGGAAACCCACAGAGACAGCTGACCCAAGCTAGTGGTAGCTCACGGGACTCTGGACTGACAGCTGGGGAGCTTGCAAGGGACGGAACTAGGCCCTCTGAATGTGAATGACAGTTATGTGGCTTGGTCTGTTTGTGGGGCCCCTGGCAGTAGGACCAGGATCTGTCCCTGGTGCATTAACTGACTTTTTGGAGCCCATTCCCTATGGTGGGATGCCTTGTTCAACCTTGATGCTGGGGGGAGGGGCTTGGTCCTGCCTTAACTTGATATGCCAGCCTTGTGTGGACTCCCCAAGGGAGGCCTTACCCTTTCTGAGGGGGTTGGGTTGGGGGAGGTGGGGGAAGTAGGAGGAGGGGAGGGATAGGGTTGGTATGTAAAATGAAAAATATTTTAAAAAGGAATATATATTACATTCAAATGGGGCCTATACCTTGTACCTCATTTTTCTATTATTTAAACAATGATTTAGCATGATGTTGGGATCTTGATTGTAACTTTCAGTAGATGGCCCAATCAGAGTGAGCCATAAATACCTGGGTATTTGTTCTTAATTAATGGTGTGATTTTGTTGCTGTCATCACTGTTTGACATAAGCTGTGTATTTATGCATATATGTTTTAGCTGGCCCAAAGCAAAATCTGATAGCACAGCAGGTAGCATGGAAATGGGGTATAATATAATATCATCTGCTGTAGTCACCTTCATATGGAAGGTATATAAAGGAAGATTTAGGTAATCTATATGTGTTATTCACAGACATCCAAGTCACTTTACTGATCCTGAGCCATAGTTGATAATAAGGCTATAGGAAAACTGATAATGTCTCTATAAAAGTACAGTCCCATGCTCAACCTGCATTTGTTTCCTAAAAAGTCTATTTTTTTTTTGTATCAGGCATGTTGCAAGGAACCTAGTAAACATGTTGAAAGAATAATTTGCCACCCTCAAACCCAAACA